ATATCAAAAATTTAATACTCATTGTGATGATATTATAGTAAGTAGCTCATTTATCTTAGTTGGAATGCAGTAGCTCTCCAAGGCAGGACTGGATCATGAAGAATGTTCAAGTTCTCACTCTAGAACTAAGTTATACTGATAGAATACTGCTCACTTCGTTTGGTATGCGGGCAGCGTTGGGCGGGAGCTGGCACCTCCAGGCTTATGAGGGCCAGTGGGCACAGCGCTTCCCAAATCCATGATCACCAACTTCAGGTTGGTAACTTGAAGTCAGCAGTAATGGGAGTATTTCCACCATGGAAATCAGCAAACACTACAAATCAGCACCCCCACCCCTAAGAGTCAGCTGTTAAACATTCTTTGCCAGACACCACCATCACTAGTGTATCTCTAAGAAGAGAGAAACTTGGCTCATTTTCCTACTGCATTATAATTCATTAAAATATTAATTCATTATTTCATTAAAATATTAGTTCATGATTTGCATAGATGTGGCCAAAAACCAGCATGTTGTTAACCTGGCTAAAAGACTTACTCCTGGTGAAAATGAACAGGAGAACAGACATTCTCTGGGATATTTGTCTGTTGATGACAATATTAAGTAGTAACAGCATTTATCTTGCCTGTCCCTTTGCAGGGGAGTCAGTGAAAGAGAGGAGGAAGTGTGACTGTTGGGACCAGTGTCACCTTTGCCTCCTGAGGGCTGCTGTTAGGGACCACGCACTGGGGTTCCTGTTCTTGTGTCCCTACATTGCCCATTTAACTCCACACTGTGTGCATCTTGGTTTATATTACTTCCATTTTCTTTGAAAATAAACCCAGAGACTCACAGACACCATCTCTCTGTACTGTATGCATATAATATATTAACAATCTTCAGCACTACCCCTGGACGCCAATTTTTTAGCTTTCTTACATGAAAATCTGAAGGCATTTAGAAATAATAGAGACAAAAGATCAATATCTTCGGATGGAATGGCCAAAATAGATAAATCAGAATCACCAGCACTTTAAGAATTATCTGTAAAAAGAAAGAAAAAATAAAGATACAGTTGTATTTGGTTTCCGAGTCAAATTGTCCTGAAAGGGAGAAACTAAAAAGGCTGAGGGCAGGCGATGGTGTGGCGGCCACGGGGGACCCCACAACTGAGGCTTATTTGACCAATAAGCCGTTTATCAGCGAAGGGAACCGTGATGTCGCACATGCGTGTTGTCTGAAGCCCAGGCGGCTCTCCTTGTAAATCCTACAGAAAACAGTGAGAGCTGCGAGTCTCACAGACGGGTCCCAAGGCACGTCCCCGCTCAGCCACCGTTAGTCATTGTGGTGGGTAGTTTGGGATTTGTTTTATGTGCAAGAACAAAAGGATTTTTTTTCTATTTTGCAAAGCTGAGCCTTGAAATTCAAGGACAGTGAAATGGCTGTTATCTACCCCTCCACATATAAAACCTGTTATTTCTCCTTTTTTCCTCATTTGTCTACTCATGTGTGATACTCAGCATATAACATCTTGTATAAATTCTTGTATGTATGTTGTCTGCTGTGTGTGTGTGGGGGGAGGGGGCTGTGTCATATTCATTTTTTATCCCCATTCTCGCTAGCATAGGGTCCTGTGGGGTTCTCAGAAACATTACTAATTTAATCTTATTTTCGCCTTTTCCGGAGATCTTTATCTACCTATTATTAATTCGATAAATATATTAAGCACATGGTATTAGAGTGAGGTCTACGGATGCACTGAATTCAATAAAATTCTTCTGTAGATCCTCTGACGGGGAATTTTTACGTTTCAAAGAGAGCTTATTTATTATTTAGTTTGCTCTATCTCTTATATGGATTATTATTATCTTAAGTTCCTAGCACTCTGCTTCCCATACAGCTGATTCTCAACAAATGTTCCTCTCTCCCCGTTCCCCTCATGGACTCGGATTATCTAGCTGAGTCTGCATGTTTTCTGGGCCACCCTGACTGTGTGTGTCCACAGACAGGCTGGGCAGAGGACACTGTGCTTGTACCCACTCCTGCCCACCGCCATTCCCACATATGACAGCTCCAGCTAGAGGCAGGCCGCTGTGAAGCTTGGATCACTGGCCCTGGGGTTAAATGATCTTGTCTGCATCCCAGTTTTGTCACTAACTTGCTTCACTTTTACGTGTTAGTTACCTCTCTCAGCCTCAGTTTTCCCATCTGTAAAACAAGGCTAACTCGAGAGGGGTGGCTGCAAGCAGGGTTAAAAGGATGATGTAGGTAAAGGCCTTAGCACATCATTATAAATGGTAACTGTTGTTTGCATTATTTTTAGAAGTTTCCCTGTGTAGCCAGCTCAATGAACATGGCCCATTTCCCCGTCCCCTCACCTTGGTGCTCTGAAGAGTAAGGGGTGACTGGGGCTATGGGATTGGCGATCCAGTAGAAAATCTAAGGCATTCAAAATTTCAATTCAAAATCTTTTTCATGTTCCTGTTCTGTGGCCCCTACCTGGTTCCCAGAGGCCCCCCTCCCTTGGAAGTTACTTACTTCCCTGTCCTCTGACAAATTGCCCTCCTCACATCTCCCCAGACACACAATCCCGTGTCACCCACCCAGTTCTGTTCTAGCCTCCCAGTTGTACCAGGTTTAAAAATACGTCTGCCATCCTTCCATGAAAAAATTGTTTTACCTACCTCTGACAGTCTCCAGATGTGTACCTTCCCCCCCCCACCCCCACCCCCCTGCTAAGCTCCAGTATCTAAAAGTCTCCAGGATGAGCCTGGGGGAACAGGTGCATCTGGAAGGGTAAGACATAAGTCCCACTTCAAGTGAACATGGGTGATCAGTGAACAGAAAGCACAGGGAGACAGTCTTCAGAAATTTCTACATTCAGAGATGAATTTTTTTGTCCGGGGGAGGGTAGTAAATCCCCCAACACTGAAAACAGTCAAGCACAGGCTGAGAGATCCCTGCTATACAAATTTAAATACTGGGAGGAGGAACTGATGAGATGAGATGGCCCAACGCAAGATATGGTTCTATCAAAATTTTATGTTATTTTGGCATTATGATCATTATCATAATTTTAAAGTTAAAACATTTTAGACAAAAGTGGGACAATCTGTCTCTCACACATGTACACACACACACACACACACACACACACAAACACAGCTCATCCACACTTAGAACTCTTTTTGCAGACTGAATAAGAGTGTGATGAAAACAATTCCAGTGAAATGAAGACCTTCCAACTTTATTTTCGAAAAGAGCACTTCAGAACAATCAGGGCAAATTCAGATTTTAATTGCAGTTCGTCACTTAGTTAATCCCCTTTATCACTCAAGAAGCAGTTCTGCACTTCCTTTGGAGACTGAGCAGGGAAATTTGTTTAAAAAAAAATCTACTTGGCATGATCCTCTTGCATAAGTCCACTGCAGTGGGCCCCCTTAATTTGAAAGACAGGAATCTGTCTAAGTTATGAATGGACCCAATAAACTCGAACGCTTACCTGGGAGAAAATAGAAACCTCGGTGTTGAATGCAATGTGGAATCAGGCTGGTCTCCTAGGAACAGGGCAGATGCTTCGTTACTATGTCTTCAATTTAAAACCCGTCTTTTATTTGACACTAGAATCTTGATTCCCATGAATCTTGGCCTCCTACATCTTCTCCAATTTTCAGGAAAATATGATTCCGTAAGACTCATTGCATACTTGCTAGATACAAGGCATCCTGGAAGGCCTTGGGGGAAAGAGACAAATCCGAAATACAAAGTTGAGTAAATCCTGCCTAAAGGGATTTCAAACCTGCGGGGAAAATCTACTGTCAGTTAGATTCTTGAGTTATTTTATTGATTTAACATACTTTAACCGAGATGTAAAAAGAAAAGACTACTGAAGAGAAAATTTCTTAAGGGAGAAGACTGGGCAGAATGACATCAAAATGCTAATGGTCATTGTGTTAAGGCAGTGAAATTCAAAGTCACTCATTTTTCTTTTGCCATTTCTTCATTTTCTTTAATAAGATTATAATTCTTTATGATAAATGAAAACATAAATTTAACATTCTTCTAGAGGTTTTTTTTTTTTGGCTCCTTAAAAACATAGCTATGATGTGTTTAACATAAGAATTTGCTATGAGGGACAAGGAAATATAAAGTTGAATCAATATCAATATGAATGGAATTTATAAAATTTGTGGCCTCTATATGGTTCTGTAGATACATACATACGTATATGCATATCTAAATGGATATATACATGCATACAAAACACATATTCATTTCACACATATGTATGTGTATCCACGTACATACACAAGTACCTAACATATATTCATTACCAGCTCTAGAATGTTCTTAAGCTAATGACAGATGTTTTGTTGTCTGTTCCTTGGCTCTTTTATGATTCAAATGATTGGAAAGATAGAAAGTGACTGAATTTCACCTTCCATTTTTATAAGTACTAGCAGCTGTGGAAGAAAGTGAAGAACACCTGACTGGTCAGCCTTAGCTCCGGGTTCAGAGAAAATTACTTTTCCCTCTCTGTGAGTGTATGGAAGTTTCTCAGCCCCCTGCCTGAATATTCTCTGCAGGAATGGAGGGGTCAGTTAGATCCTTGCTGATACCAGTAAAGGCCACTGAGTCACCTGGGTTAGGAGTGGAAGAAAAAAAATTGAGCAGAAGCACTTTGACTCCTGCTGACCTTAGAGGAAATCTTTGGAAATCTAGTCAATCCCCTATTCCAAGCCTATTTGTAGATGAAGACTTTGAAACACACATTCGCCAGTTCCAAACGCCAAGCTTGCTCAGCATCTTCTGACCCTCTGGTACCCATCAACTTGCTCCACCTAATTTATAAAGGGTGTTTCCATGGCACAGTTACACCAAAAATTGGGTAGAGACAAATAATAGCTACTAAACATAGCTATTTGTCAAAGGTCTATCATGGGCAAAGTCCTTACCTCTATCTTTTTTTTATATATACTCATGAGAATGCTCCCAGTTAGCTATTATTTTCTTTATTTTGCAGATGTGGAAATGAAGTTCAAAGCACCAAGTAACCAGCTTAAGGTAGGAGGGTTCATGAGTAAAGGAAACGGTGTGTCCCTCTGACACACCTGCTGCATTAGAAGGGCCAAGAGCAGAGCAAACCTATGGATAAAAAATGATGCCAGAATTGGCTGGTTTTAGGGCTCAAGGAGGATTCAGCATTAGTTTGATCTGATTCCCTTGCCAAAAGACCTTTACTTCAAGACGAGGAGCTAAATCTCCCATGGCAGCTTTAGCCGTGCTTACCAGTACTGAGACGGGAGGGAGAGAGGCTGAGCGCAAGGGGACACCCTTGCAAAATTTTAGCCTTTGCATAACTAGAACCAAAGCTTCAGTTGTTGGATACAGATCTTTGCATAGTTAGAAAAGTCCATTTTGAGAGCCATACACACGACCGTATACTTAAACTTTTCTCTTTGCGCCAAAGAATCCAAATCCAAGTTTTCTGGCCTCAGCGCACCCTGGTCCTTCTCTTCCATTTGCATGAGGACCTACTGAAACGAAGGCTGTTGTGAATGTCACATTGGAACAAGTAACTGACGTGAAATTACTTTGAAAGTTTAAAAAAGTAGAGGAGGGCATAGGAGAATGAAAATTGTGGAATTAAAAAAAAAAAAAAGGTCAGTACCTCTCATCCTGTACCTAACTGAGGTACTAGGCCTGGTTATTTACCCTCTCTTAGCGTTAAGGGGGCTACTACAAATACAGAGGCCAAGATTAAAATCCATGCAGTCCATAGGGAAGCTCATTTGGGAGCCCCAGGGACTCTGCAGTGATGGCGGCCCCCACCCCCACAATAAGGCAGTTGGTGGATGCTGGGTCTGTGGAGGCAGCAATCTCCAGGCACTAGTTATCATTAAGTGATGGTCTGAGTTTCTGTACCTAATCCCTTTGGTACTCATCCCATGAGCAATAGATCCCCACAGGTGCAAGGGTCACCTACTCCAGATGACTGCATTACCACTTCAGTCATATTGTTCTGAGCCCAAGGTCCATCTTCCTGCTTACCAAATCATTAAGTACTCAAGCTGACTCAAGGCCCCCGGGAGTCAAGTTCTTGGAATGTGAGGCATCCACCTCCTAAGGGGCTGAGTAGGGAAACTGCATCCCAGTGCTATAAGAATGATAGACTGCTTACCTTATATGGACTATCTCTAGGTTTATTTCCATTAAACTGAATTTGTTAGGCTATAAATTGAAATGACCAAAGGAGGAGACATTTTTTCCTGCTCTTATCTTCCCACCCCTTCTTGGGTATATTGGTGAAAAGAATGAGATTAGCCAGGTCTTAAATGTCATGGTGAAAAATTTGCAACCTTATGCGACATTCTGATTATTTCCTTCATCCCACAGCTGAAGAGAACCCAGGCCTCATTGTCTGCCCAATGGACAAAAGGGAGACGTAAATAAACTTTTCATTTCCCTTCCTGTTCATTTAATATTGGTAAATGTAACTTTCACACTGAACCAGAGACTTAGAAGTCAATAAATATAATTTACAAAGGTAATCATAGTGGAAAGGACTATAAAACACTAACCTTTGAAGTTTAATATTTATTAAGAAAACAAAATCTACTTTGTGAGTCAAAATGTAATAGTTGGGCTATAATTCTTTTTTAGCTTGCCAATATGTCATATAGAGAGAGGACATTTAGTTTTAGCGATTTGTGAAGTTGCTTCTTCTTCCATTATGTTTGTGAGGTCCGTGCCCGCTCACAGGTCCTGCTGCAGCCCTTTCATTTGCATTGTTTATAATATTCCATTGTACGAGTGTATCACAATTCCTTCACTCCCTCCTCTGTGTTAGCCATTGGCTTCTTTTCAGTTTGGATCTGCATAATATAGTGAAAGGAAACAGAAAGATAAAGCAGAAGTAGTGAAGTTAGTTTCCCAGGCAGTAGGTAGGAGGTGTCTACAGGTGAAAGAAAGATTTCTCTCACACCTTTTTAAACGTTTTTTTTTGTTTTTTTTTTTGCTTTTGAACCATGTTAATATGTTACATAGTCAAGCAATAAAAGTAATTTTAAAAAATAATAAAATGTTATATCAACGGAAACAACTGAACCTAACTGCATCAATTTTTAATACTCAGAAGAAAACTACTAATGCAAATAACTTTTAAACCAGTATTCTGACTGTATGCTCACTGGCGATGTATGCTAAGGAGAAAAAGAACTACAGCAAAATACCCATTGGTGTTTTGATTGAGTGACATGGCACTGAATTTATACACCTATTTGAGGAGGCATCTTTAAAATATCGTCTCCCTACATAAAACCGCAGCATATCTATTTATTGATGATGTTTAATAAAGTCTTATAATTTTGTCTTTATGTGAGGCACACATTTTATTAGACTTATGCATGGCTATTCATACCTTTGGTGCTACTGTAAATAGCATCTTTTCTATACATTTTGTATTTATTACCAGCATATAGAAATGCAAGATATTTTTGTACATTGATTATCAAAAGTTTTCCAAACTGTCTTATTCATTCTATTAATTCTGTTAATTTATTTGCAGATTATTTGGGGTGCTCTGTTCATAGTCATATTTCTGATTTTTATACCTTGTCTTCCTTCTTCCTCCGCTGCACTGACTAACTAGAACTCCCAGCGTGGTGTTCACAGCTAGTAAATGATAGTGGGCATTCTGACCTGGTCCCTGATCTCAGTGGGGATGCTTTACCATTAAATGTGATGTTTATTTTGTGTGCCCTTTATCACATTAAGAAATTTCCCACTTGTTCTGAATTTTTAAGAGTATAGTATTTTAAATCGTAAGTAGATGTTGAATATTCTCTAGCAATCTTTCTGCATTTATTGAGATTTATTTTATTTTTCTTTATTTAATAATGTAGTGATTTAGGTTAATTTATTACTGTTAATAAATCTTACATTTCTATGTTAATCAAATATCATTACATTATATATTTTATACTTTACTGGACTTGGTGTGCTAATTTATCATGATTTTTTTCATCCATCTTCATAGTAAGATTGGTCTGTAATTTCCCTTTCCTGTATTTGCTCAGGTTTGGCTTTGGTATTGAGATTATTTCAGCCTCATTTAAATGAGTGGGGAATGTTTTCTTCTTTTTCTATTTTATGAAAGATTTTGTGCAAGATTAGCATTATTATTTTTTAAATTGTAGACCTCACTGATAAAGACATGCGGTGAATATTTCTTTGTGGACTATAATTCAATTTCTTTAAAAATTATATAACATAAGCTTTCTATTTCTTTTTGTGGCAGTTTGTATTTTTCTAAGATATATCTTTAAATATATTGGCATATAATTCATTTAAATATATTGGCATACAATTGTTCAAATATCCTCTTCCATCTTTTTAGTGTCTGCAACATCTGTAATTATATACCACCTTTCACTCCAAATACTGTTTATTTGTGGATTCCCTCTTATATTTTT